ACCAAACCTGTACTGAAATACAACAGTGAGAATAACAGATAAAAATATTCATTTTCTATAAAAAAAAATATGATAATTACTTGGAGGTTATAAAGATTTTGCATGTGAAATCTGACAGTTTTCTGATGCGTAAAAGTATTTTTAATCTTAAAATAAAAATGACTTTGCATGTTGGTTAGTCAACATTCAAAAATAAAAAAAATGCATGAGCAAATCATTACTAAAGTCTTGCAAATGTTTACTGATAATCTCCAATATTTTGTTAAGATATGCTTCCTGTATTAAAAGTTAGTTTGAAAAACTATAAGCACAAGATTGTTACAATGTCGTTTCCTGGGACTGAGCCCGTAGTGAGAGAATTAAGTACACTTTTCTTGCTGGCAAACATTATAATTGTTACACTTGAAGTGAAAACGCATAGGACAGGTTCTCTTCTCACTTTCAGAAATTTATAACTTTATTTGCTCTTAATTTCAATGCTTTTGTACTTCATACATAAAAATTATAAATGATTCGCTCACCTAATGGCAGTATTACTTCAAGTTCAATGGGGAAAACACATATGTAACTATCCGATATTTTTTATCGTTTTCGTACTTTAATTTTAAAACTTCACGAACACTGCAGAGTCTATAGAAATTATCAATTTGATTGAAATGTAACTCTTGGAAATTAAACCGAGCTTGATTCTCACGACTCGTTTAAAATCAGACACACAAGAAATACTACTTTTACTAATCCTATCGAGAAGTGATTACACATTCTGAAAGTGAAAGAACAAACAAAAGAACCCATTAAGATGCCACCTACCGGCTTATTCTTTACCACTTTACAGTTTACGTTAGGCCTAACTTAACGCGTCTAGAAAGATTACCTTTAAGTTTAACTTCAGTTTAAGTTTGAAACAGGTCAAATTGTACTGTAGGCCTACTTAGTAAAAATTGCAAATCTTCTTATTACAATACTAGAATACGTGCTTTTTTTCGAAATTACACAAAAAAGAATTATTTTCAAGTTTTTCTCCTCCGTATTACTAAAATTATAGTAATAGCAATACTACATTCGTACTCACTTTCTTCTCTTCCACGAACTACTACGACAACACACATCCAAAAGTATGGAACTATGGGATAGAATAACGTCACTGCCGATTTTATACTCTTTGTCTAATACATTTTCTAGCGAACCAGTCGGGGACTCGGGGCCTGCGCTATGCACTATGGGTTAATTTTTATCCTCGTGAAAGTGTACATTAGGTGAGAGTTAGGTCTCGTAAAAGAAGTAGTTTAAGTACATAACGTATCATATATTGCTATGCAAGTGTTTTGTTCGGAAACAATTAAATTCAAAGAAGTTAGCTTATATGTCGTACTATCAAAGTGTCGAACAGTTAAAAATCTAAATCAACTTTAGATGGACTTCCAAGATCGTTTATTTTAGTGATGCGAAACCTTTTTCAGTTTTTGTATAATGGACGAAGAAAAATTAGGGTTTGTTAAGACCAATGACACCTAAAACTCAGTAAAACTGAAAGTGATGGGAAGGAAATGGAACAAAAATTTTCCTGAATGAGTACTGTATTACTATAATACTATTAGTATTAGAAAGTTTGCGATAAGTGATTCCAGCGGCAACAAATTAATGTCTTAAGTTTTTAATGTTTTGCCTTTGGGGCGGGTTGTCATACTCGTAAAGGAACTAATACAAATGAATTTATTTCACAGAAAAGTCAAAATAAATTCCAGGGTCTACAAAACAATGTTAACAACGTTTTACTTTTAGTGCGTCATTGTCCTGTATCAGTGTCTGTACCAGATCAGAGTGAAAAACAAGCTCCTAAATTGAAATTGGACTCAATGCCACCAGCAATCATTTAAACCAATATCAAAGTCTCTCCAGAATATTTTAAGACAGCAAAGACTCTCATACAAAGAACACCAACAATGTTATTATACACCTGTAAACAATTCTATAGTGTAGCACAACTTAGGGCTATCTGTCTTTCACAGTCAGGGCTGTCAAGAGCCACCCTAGGTTACAAATTGGGGGAAGAATTGTGAGACTCTTCTCCCCCCCCACAGTAGCTTTGAGATTATGTATACATGTATAAGTGATTTAAAGCACAATTCATGTTTGCTTAAACTTGTATTGATTTGATACATTCCATTTTTTTTTTTTGCCTCTCTCTAATGGGCCTCAGGGAAATATTCCTGGCCTCCCTACCCTCTCACTCCTAGTACGCCTTCTAACAGTGATAGTTTGAATACTGAAAATTGCATGGAACATTTAAGTGCAATATGCAGATAAACATCCCAATTCCTTTTTTGAATGATGTAGTTGTTTTAAAACAATATTCTGCAGTGGATAGAAGTGTTATTATGGATGAATTACAAAATTGGTGTTCAGTCATGTTAAACAATTATTTTAATCAATTTCTATCATAATGAGATTTTGGAGAAGTAAAATCTTAATAATACTAATATACATGAGCAAAGACACTAGTCCCAAACTGTAGTAAACAAGGAAAATACCAACATAAATGAATGAACACTGATTCTGAGTGATGATAAGCATCAATGTTAATTAATTTAAACTAGTCTTCGTGCAGAAACCAAGCTTTACAATGGTGTAGGGAGGAGTTGCAAAGTGGGGGTGCTTGGCTAGACATGCAGATTTTACAATTAGAGATTAAAAGTATAAGGAGCTGCTAAAAGCAGCTCAATATAGGGGGGGGGTATGGGTACATCCCCCCCCCCCCCAGAAATTGAATATAATGTACAGTTGCTATACAACTCAACTATGTAAAAATGGGGCTGCTACAGCATCACTGGTTTCAATGCCTCTGCTTGAACATAAGTTAATGACATATATTTATTATATCTGAAACACAAAACACTGAAATTCAATTGTAAATTTATAGATACAAGAAAGTTAATTTTATAAGCTTTTTTGAACACATCATGGTGAGTTTGGAAGACAAGAAAGTCCTTTCCATACAAGTTTTTTTAAAGTAATATTGTGTGGAGAGTAATTCTTTATCATTACTAAGTTCTTATAACTTTTAGTTGAATAAAGTATTTTCCATTATGCTTATTGTACCCAGTAACTTGTATTTTTTTATCACTTTCTGTAGTTCTTGTGTTGCTGATTTATTATTGCAATGGTAAATAAAAATCTTTATAACTTTTTAAAATAGCAAGTTATAGAACAGTTGATTCCTCTGACCATTAGTGTTTTTGTTTGATTTAGTTTTGATGTGTTTGTAATGGGTATTTATGTGTGTATTTTGTAGTTTTCTTTCACATACAAACTTTTTTTTTTCTCTGTTCTTTTCAAAAAGTATGATGTGTGCCTTTGATTTTTTTAGCCCCAACATTGATCTCCTATGACCATTAGTCTTTTTTTGTTTGATTTAGTTTTGGTGTGTTTGAGAGAAAGGGGGTCTGTGTATGTGTTTGTATTATGAAGTTATGTTTTCTTTTGCACTGAAACTTTTTTTTTTCTCAAAAAATTATTAGTTGTGCCTTTGTTCTTTTAACTCCAAAATTAAATGTTTTTTTTCTCTGTCTCCAAGGGAAGTGCCCTATGAAGTTTGATTTAAATCTGCTGTTTAAAACTATTTATCATTCAGAATCAAAATTACTTGTGCGAACACCCTTTGTTGGCAAAGATAAATTTCTATTTCTTGAAAAGGTGACCTTGATTTGGACTGCTCAATCCTAAAATCAGTAGGGTCCGTCTCCAAAATCTGTTCTAAAGAACTGTAGTTATTGTGTGGAAAATAGATGTCTATATGGGTGGACTGATGGATCACGTCATCATTACATCCCTCCAAACCTTTTTGATAGGGGTAAATAAAATGAAACAAAGACTCAAAAATACATAGAATAAATTTCATCAGGAATATTTCCATCATAGTTTCATGCTAGTTCCACTACTTTAATTGATTTAAAACATTTAATTTATCTAGGGCTTTATGTAATTTTGTTAAAAACAAAACACCTTTATGAACTCTGGCTTGCACAGATTGACAATGAACACTAGTTTAAACTACTTAAATAAACACCTATTTGACATTTGTATTTTTGGAGAAAGTATATAAAATTGTCATATGATAGCTAGCCCTAACTATGAATATTTTTTACTACTGTACTTTCACTGCCTAGTGATTAGCATGCCTGGATTAAGAATTGGAGGGTTCATGGTTCTCATCTCAACACTACATTAAAACCTAGTTCTGCTTTTAACAGCTGTGAATGTGTTATAAGAGTGATAGTTAAGTACTACTGCTCAGTTAGACAAGAGTTTGCATTGGGTGCTTAACTCATAACTACCTATCAGATTAAATTTAGGGAAGGCTAATTGCAGGTAATACTTATGTAGCTTTACTCAAAAATGTTAAACATACTCTTTCTCCCCCCAAAAAAAGAGAAAGGTAAGAAAGTTAATCCAACATCATTTTCTAAAAGCCATTGTAACTTAACTTGTTTAATAAATCATGTACACCAATTTAGCAAAATACAACACAAGTTGTTACTTTTTAAAATATAGTCACTACATTTTAGTAGCATGTAAAAGGTTGTGGTTAATGGTTTCTTCACCAGAAATTTGGTCTTGATACATTAACATAATATTTAGGGACAACAAGGGACCTATTAGTCCATCTAGGCTGTCCCATCCACTAAATTAAAATAAGACATTCAGAAAACAAAATGAAAAACTCAAATTTACTGCCTCCACATCTGAAGGCAATTATCCCAAAGGCCAACAACACTGTTAGAAAAATAAAACTGTTAGATTAAGATGACTCCTACTCTGCCAAAAGTTATATTTGTGTCCCCCAGTCCTAACATTCTCAACCCACATACTTTAAGGGAATTCATTGTACCTTAAAATACCACACTAGGTCATCCTCTGAAGTAATCTACCTCAATTGTACATATGAACCTCCTGATTAAATCCAAAATAACCTTAACAGGACATAAACTTAAAATATTCAATATAATTGCATCCTCTGTATTGTTTATAGTTGGTATTCTGCAAAACATGTTCTTTGATTAAGCTGCAGACATTACATTGTTGGCACAATGGTTGGAAGAGGGCGGTTCAGGTGTGCAAACAAACCATCTTTTGGAAAACAAACATTAATTCCATAAGTAGCCAAAGGTCCAATTTCTCAGTACAATATGAACGGACAAGTACCAGATCATCTACACTATACTGACTAGGCAAAAACCATACTATAAAATCAGGTTTTTTCCAAATTAAGGACTTCCTAGTTTCATTCACATTGGGGCAACTAAATATGCTTCACAGCTACATACTCGATAGGCAGTTCAATACAGCATATGATATAGTGCTTGAACTGAAGAATTTAAATGATGGTAAGTCTATCTTATTATATAATAAGGTGCAAAATAATTATTACAAAAGGATTTACATGTGTGTGTCATTGTAATGTTTGCATAAACTTCAATTAAGTAATGAGTAAATAGGTTCCACTTTATTTTTAAAATTTACATGAATATTTATTTCAACATAACTTGTTCATCATTGAGTTCTTGACATAACATGTGAGTGAATATTTATAAGTTTTAATCAACAAAAAGTAGGCTTAAGTATATTTTGTTACATGTGTGCAGCAAGTGGCATGGCAGGAAGTCAATGTTTGAGAAGGGATTATGATTGAGAACCAGCTCAAGATTTTCTATGACATATCAAAATTATGTATTTTTAGTTAGTACTTGGTACCAAAATTTGTAGTACATCAATCAACTCATATATTCATATGAAAACCTGATATCCTTTAGAAGTCATCGCTTTTTATTCTTAAGGAATATTCATTGTCATGGAATATACATTAAGATCATTAATGATTTTATATGTGTATTTCAAATGAATCCATAGTTGCATTATGAATCATCCTAACCTTGTTGAGTAATATCTTTTTCAGAATAAACAGCAGGATATACATCATTTAATTTCCTCAAAAAGTTTTTCATGCATTTGTAATTATTACTATATTATATTAAAATGTAAACTAAATATTTAGCATTAAAAGAAATTAAGAACAACCATCATTCTATATGACTT